GCATCCGACTGATTTGCTTCATCATCCAACAGCCCCGTTTCCTGTGGTCGTCCATGATGGAGGGCAGAAAGTCGGTATCCCAATTTGTTGTACACGGACTTGACCATAGAATGAACTCACGATCGCATCTCTGAACGCCCGTGTGTCCTCCAGGAAACTTTATTTTGGTGGCAGACATTTAGCTTACGTACATGTCAGAACACATTTTAATAAACGGTTTTAGCGCTCGATCGAATACTACATGACTCCGGAACATCATTTAGCAAAGTCTGGTTTAAAACAGCAATCGATAACATGATGTAGCTTACGAACAACTTTTTGCTCGACAATCCTAGGACTAGAAATTTGAAACTGACAGCATTTGATGCAGTGCGAGGGGTAGGATTAAATACTTGAAGAGGCAGTTTTTGAGTCTTTACAAATGTATTCTGTTTTCTCAAGCTAACTTTCGTCACCGAATTTCCACAACTTTCGTCGTTGTCATTGTGCATTCTGGCGGGGATTAGGTATATTTAGTGCCATAACAGATGAATGCCAGTCCACCCCGGGCCAAAATGATTTATAGTTCCTAATGTGGCAGCGACTGTTTGCCAAATGGTAAACTCTTGAGCCAGGCGCGGTCCTCACTTTCGCCCTGCTTATCGGGGCTGCGGGATGTCCCAACATTCTTTTTCAAACACAGGCGTCACTTTCCAAAATTAACCTACTCTGCGCGAGTGTGTAACGAGGGCAAAACTGGCGAGGAGTGCCTTAAATTATTTAGTCCGTTGGGTATTCGGATCATCGCTAGAAAAAGAACGGTTCATTTTCTCTCAAATGGAAGTGCCTCAAGAAGACACAATGCAAAGCCTACCTATCCACACGCGTTGCGTTTTCTCGCCTGACATAAAGATGGCGGTTACCGACAGTTTCTATTAGCTCATTAACTAAGAATTCTTCTGCGTGGTGTCCGTCTTATTTCAAAAAAACTTCTTGTCTTGAACGTTTCATAACTAGTAGGGATTAAATAAATGTCTTATATACTTCTTTGTAAACGGATCAGTTGGTTTCTCCCTGGCAGTAGTTAAGTCTGTTTACAAGTGAGAAAATCGTGGCAACACTTCTGAAGAAAACTTTGGATCACCCGCCTAGCCGGGGAATTAAAAGTCGGGAATACCGACACGAAAACCCCCCTTTCGGGGATTCCAGACGGTAGGCAGACTAGGTACGACAGTTACTAGTTGGCAGTTGAGCGGATGCTTACTTCTTATCTAGTGAGGAGGCAGGTAGTGGCAGAGCGGCTGTGTTAGAAAGGGAAATATTCGTTTGCTACAATCTGTCGGAGCAGTGGGGCGTACTGATAGTCGACGGACAGCGTTACTCACTCTGAGATCCTCCGGAAACCAGATGAGGGACAAGCTTCTCCGGTCTGGTCGAGCTGTTAATACGAACAGCAGAGTTCCTGACTAAGTGAAACATTTCTGAAGAGCAATTACATGTGATCAGGCATGGTATGCTCAATTGTCCATGGAAAGTGGACTGCGGATAAACCATTCGCTTCTTTTTCATGAAGCGGGTCCATAAATAAGAACATGCCAGTCAGACGGCATGTAGGGAATTGGGATTTTCGACACTCATATTAGGCAAAAAATCAGGACTCGTAAATTTTTAGTGGCGATAATGAGAGACAGCTAGAAGTGGTTTATGATATCTTTTAGGTGAATCTTATGGCAATAGTCCACTCATAAATAGGACGACCGGAAGTACTGAAACATCTACGTAGAATGTTCTAGACAACTGTCCTAGGAGCGATTATAGGGGAGAGGTTTACCAAACAACAGGAAAGGAAATATAATGGTCGTTTATGGGTCACTTATCGTTGACGGAGGCTGCGCCTACCGATCGCGTTACGGGCCACACACTACTAGCCGCTGAGCAACTGCTGGCGGGGATCGAAATTGGGACCCAAGACACAAGACGGGGCGAATGTGTCCCGTATCGCGGTCGGTCAACGTCCCTCTACCATTGTATGTGCACGATAGCAACCGACAGAGCAACGAGCCCGTGGCTCAGTGGTTAGGTCATTTGACTTCTAACCAGCAGGTCGCGGAATCAAGCATTAGGTGTTGCAAAACCTGGGGTTGGGTATGGCTGGTCAATGACGACTAATAACTTGGAACAATATTTCCTCGGGATGAGTTTGAAGCAAGCATAGACAGCAGAAGTTGTTGGAACCAATAAATTCCGTGACGGCCTGCAGCCTGTCGTTGCATAGCAGAGATAAAAAATGAGAAAGATACATAAATTTGAACTTCTACAGATAAAATTAGTATAAAACAGCAAGGTCATCGTAGACTGCACGCAGACTAATCAATAAAAGGGTAAATTGAAAGCCCGTCTTAGGAAAGAAAACAGGGAAGTTAGCACGCAGAGGAGGTGTGCAAATCAAATGCTGAGGTTTACCAGGGAAACTTTAAGTTGACAATGTGATCTGACTGGTTGCAAAATTCGAGTTTCTCCCGCCGTATGTAGGCTGCCTTAAGTAGCGAAGTATCCGAGCTGTTCGCGTCTTAACTAATACTAAAAAATATGTTTTAGGGTCAACGGAATGATAGTAATCTAGGAGGTGCTTTGTGATGGAAGACCGTAGAATTTTATTCTCCTGCTATAGAAGCCATTTAGGCAGATGCTCAAATGACCTGGCTGCCAATGGCCTTTGCGTTCGCCCAATGTACTTGCATCAACAAGTGCACGTGAATTCGTAAACACAATCTGACGTGGCGTGCAATGGCAAGGCATCCTTTGTCCGTGGAAGTGGGATGACCTTAGTGGGACTGTAGAATATGTGTTCAGCTGTATTGTATGTGCTTTCAGTGACGCATCTCAATAGCCGCTTAGTGGTATTTGAAATGCTGTCACCCTTAAAAGGAAAAGATATTACATCGGGCTTTTTTTGAACTGAGTTCCCCGTCAATTTTGGCCTTAAGGTATTATTGTAATTTTGGATGAAACTTATTTTATATCCACGTTTAAGTAGGCCTGCTTTGATGCAAGAAGTTCCAGTAGCCAGTGCTTCAATAGGGCAAGCGTTTCTCGCTATGCAGAAAGGAGGATAAACCAGATTTCGCTTTCCTTGTATTGGCATAAAGCTTAGGAAGTGTAGGTCTTGACCCTTCCATGTATCCTTTTGGAAAACCGATCGGCTTATTGAACCATCTTCTTGCCTCGTCATGAGAGCATCCAGGAAAGATAGCTTGTTACACTGCTCCTTTTTCATTGTGAACTTGAACTTCTGATGGGGACTACTTATGGTAACAAGTGGATCTTCGGCTTCCTCGTTCTTATTAACAATAGTAAAATATCATCCACATATCGTTTGTATGGCGCGTTCATATTCAACTTGGAGGACAACTTTTCTTCTAAGGGACCCATAAAAATGTCGGCAAGGGTTTAAATGTGGGGATAAACCCATTAGTTGGGCACAGTGAGTAGGCTATCCAGGAAACGAAGATAACAGTATTGCAACAGTTACAAACTAGTAAATAAGGACAAAGTCGTCAACAGGTAAAAATGCACGTGCTTGTTCTATGTCTCATCCAAAGTTGTGTCAAGTTCTTTAAAAAGCGTACTGTAACTGATTAAAACTAAACGGACTTAAATGTCACTACAATACTCTCCCTCCTAGGATGACGGAGTTCAAAAAAATTATTGTTAATAGAAGGAGAAGGTGGGAGTGTTATGCATATTGTACAAGTTGGTAATGGTCGGGAGAACGGACATGACGACCGTTGCGCGTAAGGGGAGGAGTCTGTGGGGTAAGGGAAATCGCGAAAAGCTGAAACTTTGGCATCTATGAGATGACAACCAAAAGCATCTACGCGATGTCGTATGGAAAACAGCTACTGCACACTAAAAACGCATTCGGAAATACTAGTGAAAACGCCAAATTGGCTCAATCGTTCAAAAATGAGACGTAAATTTTGTAGGTGTTTGTGTTCACTGAAACTTGCTACCAGAACATCGTCGACATAGACAAAGACGAAAGGCAAGTCGCGGAGGCTTTCGTTGATGAAACGTTGAAAATTTTGAACGGAGTTGCGTAGCCAAATAGGTAACCTGACAAACTCGAACATATCAAATGGTGTTGTAATCGCCGTTTTGGGAACGTCTTATGGAGCAACAGGTACCTGATGGAAAGCTTTGACTAAGTCAATCTTGGAACATATGGTTGCTCCGGCTAGGCTAGATGAAAAGTCGTGGAGATGGGGAGGTGGGTACCTGTCAGGCACAGTGCAGGTGTTTAACCGCCGGTAATCCCCGCATGGGCGTCAGTCAACGAGAGACCTTTTGTACACCATTATATGTAGAGGTGCAGCCCGTGGACTAGTGGAAGGCCCGACTATGCCTAGGTCCATCATGTGACTGAATCCAGCCTTGGCTATGGCTAACTTATCGGCGGCTAAACGACAGGGACGGCTAAACACGGGTGGTCCAGTAGTTAAATATAATGTGCAATAGAATGCTTGATAGGTTGGTTAGGGGGGTCATGTAAGGGTCACGTGATAGATGGGAATTCCGCAAGTAAACGATGATAGGGAGTAGACGAAGGGATTGCTTAAATGCGCGGATTAGGTGTTGAAAGGGTACGAGTGGAGCGTTTAGACTGTAAAGAAGTCTAAGGATCAAATAATTTATTGGACTTGATGTCAACAAGGAGACCGAAAAGGATATAAAATCAGCACCGCGAATGGTACTATGAACATCAGCGATAGTAAAAAGCCAACGAAATGAACGTCTTAGACCCAAATTTAGCGCTAGGGATCGTTGACCAAAAGTTTTAATAGAAGTCTTGTTGGCTGCTGGGAGGAAAAATGAAGAGTTTACTGACTTACGCTCAGTCAAGGTGGGTGGGATTAGACTGATCTCCGCACCAGTATCCATGAGAAAATTACGACAGGAAATCCTGTAATAGATGTGGAGAAAGCGACTGGGAGAGGATGTGCCGATCAAGTACGTCGCCCTTACTGGTCGGCAGGGGAGCTTTCCAACGCAGGTGTCTTGTACTTGTACGGAGAGGGACAGCGATGATACCAACAGAAGCCATCGACTGTGGGTTGGTTTCGAGTGGGAGATCTCGGGCGGCGAGTAACTGCAGGACTACGAGGGTTATAGACACGAGTGGCCTGGAGCTGGGAAACTTCGAGTGAGGGCATCCAGGCGTTTGATGGCATCCTCGATTGTGGGGCAATTGTGTTTCGACTAGCAACGTTTACCGTAACAGGAGGCTGGTAGTACTCGAGTATGCGGTCAACAGTCTCTGTGAGCCTCTGAACAGTCGAAGAAGGAATGCTAGGCGCAAGGATGGCTTGCACAGAAGGAGGTAACCGTTGGAGAAAAAGTTGCTTGAACATGGTGACATCCAGCTTTTGTCCGTCTGCCAACTGCTCCAAACGCTTAAGAAGCTGCGTAAGCTTCCTGCCACCGAGGTCCTCCTCAGAAATTAAACGTTGCAGACGTTTTTGCCTTGACAGGGATATGCGGCAAATGAGAGCCTCCTTTAGGGCAGTATTAGGGGCTTCCGTGGGCGAGCAATCTATGATGTCGCGAAGGTCGGTGGCGATATCCATTGGGAGTGCTGTCACAACATAGTGAATTTTCGTATCTTCTCCTGTAATCTGACGGAGGACAAAACGGGACTCTACAACGCGCAGCCACAACGCGATGTCACCAAGCCACACGGTTGGCAGGTCAAAAGTGTGAATGCCGGCTACCGGTTGGCTGGTAGAATCTTTGGACATAATTAGCCGATTTCGGTCGGAGGTCAGATAATTGGGGTAGATGACTGGCGCGTTGACAGTGAGATTGAAGGGTAGCGCTCGTATTGGATGAAAATGTGAGACAGCGCGAATATCAAATAAGGGTTAGATAAATAATCTGATCAATAAAAAGTAGAGTGGGAATTAGTCCGAATGGAAATACTTATGCATAGAAATGAAACAGAAAGATCTATGCACTATACAGGGTCACCATTGTAAGCGATAAACCTATTAGTAGGGCATAGTGATCAGGCTATCCAGGAAACGAAGATAGCAGTATCGCAACAGTTACAAACTGGTAAATAAGAACAAAGTCATCAGCAAGTAAAAATGCATGTGCTTGTTCTATGTCTCATCCAAATTTGTGTCAAGTTCTTTGAAAAGCGTATTGTTACTGATTATAAAACGGACTTAAATGTCACTACAGGACCGTGTGGACTTCCCACTGTTACTCCATCAATTTGTCTGTATAGCTGTCCAGTAAACAGAAATTGAACGTTTTTCGTAAAAATTTTCAACAGGTCACGTAGAATTTTGGGTGAAAGACGGGTTTCAGACGCATAGGCGCATATGACATCTACTGTCTCAGCAAGTGGTACATTTGTGATATTGATATGAAGTCCAAGGACATCACGCACTTTTTATAAATGTCCCGATGCGTAATTTTTTCAACAAACTGGAAACTTTCTTTTATCGCGTAAGTCGAAAATCGGTGTCGTATTGGTTCTAATTTGTTAAGCGGCCACTGTGCTAATTGGTGTTGGAGTGGATTAAAAATAGACAGAATGGGTCTTGGGGTACGTCCTTTTTATGCGTTTATAGCAATCCATATAACCTGTGAATACATGTCCCCCTCGATTTCAGGGATAGCGCGGTTTTAGCATCAGTCAGATTTTTGCCCAATAACTGTCTAATTATTTTCCAGGCGGAGCCTTCCAGTGCCTTGGTTTCATCTTTCCCTGGGTTTTCGAGATTAAATTTATTTGGATCTTTTTAAATGGATTCCATTTTGGTTACATAGTCTCTCCGATTAAGAATAAAAACACCTTGGCCTTTGTTTGGCTTACAAACTACTATTTGTTCACGGCGTTTCAATGCGGCTTGGACAGCTGTGTCCACTAGTTATTGGTGTTGGTTGCGTTATTGAAGCTCTACGATACTGATGACAAATGTCCACAAGTTTAGCTTTCAGCCAACCTATGTCATCAGCGGATCTGGGTATAAGGCCAGATGGTTGAGAATTTAAGTCTTCGAATAGGGCCTCAATTTCAACCGGGTTAATTCATCTGTTCGGCACAAAAAAGTCAAGTCCTGGGGATAAAACCTCTGCTTATAGCTTATCAATTTTGGGTTTCGGATATATTAAGAATAAGCCCATTGGAGTTCAGGGGAAAATTATCGTCCGTAGGCTTCCTTTTTACTGACTTCATTGATAAGCCGTCGAGAAATTTGTTGGTTCCAACAAATTCTGCTGTCTGTGATGGTTGATAAGTCAAAAGCGGCCATTATAGTCTCCTCTGACTTTGTCGATAATGTTATTTCACCCATCGATATTAGACGGTCTTCAACTAACAGAGAACCCAACGCTTCCGCCCTCTATCTTAAGAGACGCGTTTTCAGGCCGACTAAATATGTGTTTCAGTAATTCACGGTTCCCACAATTGGTTGGCTTGCAGATGCGCTGACCCATAGGCGAGCCGGACTGATGCACGACGAGCAGTAATCGAGCCGCACCGACTTTGCTCAAGATCAGAACTACTGCTGTGCATGCGAGTGGTGACACCTAAGTCTTAACGCCACGCCAGCTACTGCATCCAATGCAATCACTCGTCGGTTGACAGGCTCGGGGCATGGGAGAGCAAAGAGAGCCTTTGGGGAGCCCATCCTCACAGAACATCAGCGCATTCCCTGCTAGAGCAGATCCGTTGCGCCAAGACTCGCGGCTCGGAAGCTTGCCGACTAAGGGGATAACTTGGTCCTTCTCCTTACGGAGAGTCAGGCTGAAATGTTACTCTCACGTGCATGCACTGAGGACCATAGCGCTGGGGAGGCATGATAGTTTATTTAACTTTGTCAGTTACTGTGCCTGCATTAACCTTCGGTCGTCTTAACATTGTCTTGCCATAGAACGAATGTGATCGATGAAAGGGGTAGTGGGTAGATGTTGCGCAGGTATAAACTAATTCGCGTGCAAGTCATCGCTGCCGTGCTCACGCTGTGGGACACAAGCTGGACGTTGACATTCGCAACGATCAAATTGCCATACATCGGTGACCGAGTAGACCCATATGTAGCCAGAACCTATGTGCGAATTGGGAGAAGACCTGGGCTGTGCCGATCCACTCTAGGTTTTCTTGAATGCGCAAGTGATCAGCTAGACCCATGCGGTGGGCGAATGTCCCTAGGCAGTGTGAGCAGGCAAGGCGTACGGAATCGGTGAATGTTAGTACTGCAGATGCGCGTGGCGGGTAAATGCACAGGTATATTGCGCTGACTGGTAGTGTGTGTACGAGTGTTTTTTGGTGTCTCCGGACACACAAAGTAGTAACTAGGTCGTGTGTAACGCACGCAGACTAGACGTTCAGTCTTGTCTGCTAGCAAGTCCTATTCAGTCGGCAGCTAACTGACAAGCTAGAGCAGTCGACTGGGGCATGAGCGAAGGAAGAGTGAGAAAAAAAACTGACGCTGGGGAATTCATACTATGCCAAATCTTCAAATTTGACACGCATGAATCTACGACGATTCGTTAAAAGCCGCGGTTTGAAGCCTGCACACTGACAGGATAAAGCGGTCCTCCCAGATCTCAGAGTTGGGTCGCAATGGCCTCTTCCCAATATTGCCTCCATAGAACTCTCATGCATGTGAGTTCCGAGCCGCACCCCGCGGGAGTCTGGAGCACGAAATAAGGACAAGGGCGTGCTTGGCGCGCGCAGACGGACCAGTAGGATTTGCCGGCCAGTGCATTTGCGCCAACCTTCGGTCGTCTTGACATTGTATTGATATCGAACTAAGATGGGTAGGTGCTGCACAAGTCTATCCCACCACAAACTAATCCGCGCGAAGGTCAACGGTGCTGCGCACACCCCGTGGACCACACGGTGGATGTCGTTGCTGGCGACGGTTGGCCTCTTATGTCACCTGCTTTGGCAGTCAGACACCGAGACGGTGTGCTCCTTCTGTTCGCAGCATTCCGACTAGCTACCATGAGGACATCGATGTAGACCCGCACAAACAGCAGGAAACCTGTGGCTAGATCTATAAGTAAGTGAAGAAGCGGAGTCGAACACCGGAACATTTTGTTTATTGTCCTGAGCTTTCAGTCTCGTTCAGGAGTCCATCGTCAGAGGTAGTAGCAGCAACAGAACATGCGACAGTTTTAAGGGAATGTAGGCCAATTATCGACCGACGGCGGAAGACTGGAGGTGACTGCGCAGGGCTCTGTACGCCGGCGCCAGATAGATAAATCGAGTTTTCATCCGACGCCTGGGTTTCAATCTATTCTCGGCCTGTTTTGTTTCCGGCGTGGGCTACTATTTTGATGGCTGCGAAGTTAAACTCGTGACCCATTTCGCATATGTGGGCGGCTACCTGTGATAGTGCGTCGCCTCGTCGCACAGCCAGCTTATGTTCGTATATGTCCGATCCGAGCATGAGTCCAGTCTGCCCTGTGTAGTTAGAAGAACAGTTTTGACATGGGATGCGATACACTACTTCAGATTGCTCTTCATGCTTTAACAGGTCTTTAATTTTCATGACCCTATTACGCATGGTGGCTTTGAGGCGGTGTGCAATTCTAACACCTGGCTTCGCAGCAATGCACTCGGTCGCATCTGAAACGCTTTTGATGTATGGCAGAGAATGCCATATCGTCGGTGGTATTGATGTTTGAGTCCTCTGGGGACGACCGAGTAGGCAGCGACTTATGAATGCCCTCTGATAGCCATTTTGCACAAACAGGTGGTTGAGATCTATGGACCTCTAGGGCGTCGGAATGATTTCATGAATGCCGATGGAAATGTGAATGACTTCATATAGGCCGAACGAGATAGTGACAATAATTTTGGAGTTGCGTCGGGCGACCGATATTTGATGGACGATCTTCGAGTGCACCGTGTTGCGGAAAAAGAGACCTTGAAGCGCCTAAGGTAAGGCACTAGATACGGATCGGGTATTGTGACGTTGTCGAATGTTCGATGGCTGCCGCAACGTCTCCGACGATAGATATACCTTTGGGCACCAAGTAAAGAAGTGACTCTCGGGAACTGTTGGATGGTGAATGAATGCGAGTTGCAGTATACATTCAAACACCGCCCTCACGGCCTGCAAGCGGGCCGGCCTTAGCATCTAGGCCGAGCGAACCTAGAAAAGCGTAAGGTGCGAATATGATTCAGAAGGTTTTGCTGGATCTCGCAGATGCGGAATTAGTGGTTAGCAAATTGAGGTTCTTGAAAAATGAGCTCTTTATATGGGAAAGTTGTCTTTACCCAGAACATATATGTTGCATGAAGTTGTAGAGACTTAAACCGCAAACTGACAGGCCAGCTGTAACATCGAGTAACAGTGGACATTGGCCGTCCACAAGAATATTGAACTCAGACAAGATGCCCGAGCCAAGGATTACATTGGTGATGCCAGTAGTGCGGAAACGGTAACGAACGACGAAGGTCTACAGTAGGAATGGAGGGATAACTACCAAACAGGGGGCTGCAGAAACTGTTGACAGCCGGCGACTGAATGTCAGGCATGAGGCAGCGACGGTCAGAGGGGCCACACAGATCTAAACACCGGTGTCTAAAAGGAAATGTCCACGAAAGTTCCGAGTGCGAACAGGGGCAGAATGGCCAGCAAAAGTGATCGCCTCTGTTTTCCGGTTGACTTGTTTCTCTAAGGAAGTGGAAGGTACAGAAAGAAGAGCACTGACGGGCCTTAACACCCAAGTATGATACGAACACGTGTCGGCTGATTAAGGACGAGACTGAGGG